TCGCAGCCCTGCGCCGTGGGCATCGGCGTGGCCCCGACAGCCTCACAGCCAGAATGTGCCCGGCCCCCCGTGTTCTTCCACTGGGAACTGCGTGGCCAAGTACCTCTCGAGACCTGGGTTGCGCCTTGCCGAGTTAGCCAGGGGCTGGGAACAGGACAGGCTGCAGGGAAAGGCCGTCTGAAGAGTCGTATTCTAACGGCCCAGCTATGCGATTTTCTCCTCTTCGCTCTCAGATCTAGTCTGCAGCATGCAAACTTGCAGGGGATCCTCGCTTGCAGTTGTAGATTCATTTATGATTACATCTTTAAATCTTCAGTGCTAAATGTAAAAGTCTGAATTCTTTTCTCATTTGCTTTTGGATGGTAATTTTTCTGACTCTATTCTCCTGTATCCTAACCTGTAAAACATATAAAAAACTCTAGTTCTGGGTGAAGTATTCAAGAAATATAGTTTTAGAAGTGCTGCAGACAGAAATGCACCAAATGCCTGCATTTGCCATCAAAGCTCTGGTTTTGTTCGCCTCATCCTCTGTTGTAATAGATACCACCTCCCTCTGGAGATAGAAGTAGATAGATGGCCCTGTCAAGGTGAAACAGATTTCTGACACTGTAATAGGACTAATTGTCCCTCCAGAGCAGATCAGTGTTGGATCATATACCATGCTTCATCAGGCCTCGTGTTTGACTGCTTTGGCAGTATCTTCTTAGCCCTCTTGTTCTTCAGCGCTTCACATGTGCTGTTCTCCTTCAGTATATTCAGAGTTTGAATGTGGAGTGGTGTGAAACTCAACTCTGAGGGTTTATGAAACACGGGCTGCATTGCGAGGATTGTGCACACTTGCTGTGAACTGAAGCGTACAGAGCATAATCTTGCATTTTTCAGAGCAAATATGTGCCCACGTATACTGGCCTTCCGGTGAAAGAGAACAGTTGTACTGTAATCAGATAGATAGTTGATAAGATATTTTTGTCACTTCTTCACAATAAATGTGGAGAAAACACGTATGGGAAAAGTGGTTGTTATAAAAGAAATAATGAGTAAAGTTTCTTTTCAAAATAGAATGGAAATTGTCACTTTCACTTATGTGACCAAAAATGTTACTGTAGCAAAAGTTAAAAGGTCACAGGTAATGAGCCCTTGTGATGTTTGGTATAAACTTCCCATTTGAAGTCTGTTATTTAATAAGTAAATATTCCGCAGTAACTGTGAATGCTGTACATGCAATAGACTTACATCAACATGCAGCTAACTTCTGCTAAAAGTAAGTAGCCCTCTAAAACAGCAAACTGCAGAACCCTTCCTTCTGTGCATGCTGGCCAACTGAGAGCATTAGCTCTTGCATTTCAAAATTACAGTGTGTCAGGAATTCCATATGATTTGTGGAATATAGGAGGGCAGCAAATTAAAAAAAAACAGAATCTAATCATATTAATGAAATTTTTAAATCGTATTAATCGTATGTCTTTGTATAAATATTTCTTGTTACGCTACTCTCTATTTTTGTAGCCAGAAATAGGCTGTAGTACTTGTTGTCATTAATGGTAGAAGTCAAGCAGCAAAGGAGCTTGTTATTGTTGCTGAAGCATTGTGGAAAACGTTTAGTTTCCTTCTTCATTAAAAGCAAACCAGAAATATAGCTTCGGGTTTTTTTCCCCTCAAATAATATGCATGTATCTAAGAACTTGTGAAGTACAAATTTGTTAAACATTTTGTCAAGTGTAGGACACCCTGCCCAATTTCAAATCAGAAGAGGTGTTTTTATTCTTTAGCTTACTTCTGTGTAGCACTTGGAGTATTTTAAATCCTTTGCTTCTGTATTTTCCAATACCAGCATAATGTGAGGCTGGAATAATCATCCAGGTAGGGTCCCTTTTTATCAGAATCGGACTGTTGAGACAGTCATTGAATTACCAGCTGTGCATGCACATAGGAGATAAGGGCAGCACAGAGTCAATGTTTTGCAACACAGTGTAACAGGAAAAAAAAAATCAGTGCATTTCTGAGCAGCATTTTACAGGACAGAGTCTTCAGTACAGTCATTTTATGACTGTTTGCATATAAGTGGTGATGTACACATGCAACTTGAAATATTTCCTATGGGAGTTGGTATCCCTCAATGTTTGTACTTTTTTCATTCTGTTTTCATATGTGAGTGTGGATCTCCTTATTAGTTACCACTCTGCATTTTGAAAGTGACAGATGCTTACCATTATAGCTAATAAATTTTAAAAATAGATACATTTTATTATTTCCCTATCATGTAATTGTGACATGATGTAATGAGTCCCTGCTCTTGCACTTCTTGAATTAATACTAAAACTTGTAATGACTTAATAGCTGATTTTCAAGAGTCTGGTACCTGATTAAGCTTCCTGTGTTATAATATACTGCTGCTGGATGATTGCAGCTTGCTCTGTTGGAATGGCAATTGATAAGGGCCATGGACCACAGCATCATATTGACAAATACGTTGAGTTCTTGGCCATGCAGTTATTGCTATTCCAAATGCAAGCAGGAAGTTAAAGTTTGGTGTTGAGTTGTAAAATAGAAGGATAATCTGCTCCTATTGTACAGCTGACCCAGACTGTAGTGGGCCAGTGTAACTGTTGTGCTCTACTGGAATGTTTTAGTTCTATGTTATTTTTAGAAGCAAAGGTGATTTACTAAGCAAAATGGTTTGCATTTAGTAGTATTAGAAATTAGGCCAACTGTTGCAATGAGTGCTGAGTTTTATGAAATAGCTGTAATAAAAAGAAAAAGGGAAAAGAAGGCAAAAAAAAAAGGAAAATAAAAAAGGAATGCTAATATACTTTAATCCAGGAGTGCCCATGACAGTAATTCATTTACTATGTGGTGTAATTCTGCATAGAATTCTCACAGACATTTGCATCCACGCATAAACTGCTCTGTTTTGTAGACATTGTGAAATCAGAGATCGTTCTATAATTTTGCTAATGCAAAGCTGGTGAAAACCTTAGTAGAGGAGTTGTGTATGCTGTCCTAACAAACGGACCTAGTAGTATAAGCCCTGCCTCAGTTCCCTGCACAATGCCTGACACTAAATTGTTGTTGGGCAATGGAGCTGGGCTAATTTCAGAACAAATGGTATGTCAGTAGTTAAGTGTGAAATATAGATGTTCTCACTGAAATACAGTAGGCAGAGGAGACCATAGTATAGCAGTCTGTGACATCAGTCATTTATTTGTGTCTTACAAATAAGATCCTACAATCTTAGAAAAGTCTACCTGAAAAATATACTTGAATGAGAATGGTTCTTCAGAGGTATGTAATTTATCAGCCTTCAAAATACGATTCCTTGGTGGCTACATTAAAATTCAATTTTGCTCTAGAATGGAATATAGTGAAAATTGAAATACTGCTGATCTTTCATCCAAAAGGAATGGGAATGAAATATCCATATAATGCTAGTTTTTGGTTGTAGAGTGGCTCTTCAGACTGTGCGGATTGTTTGCTTCCTGGACCGTTACATGAATAGTTTAATGTTTGTATGTTTTTTTTATAAAAGTTTTAACAGCCAAAAAGTTGAATTTGATTTGCAATTTAGTAATTAGACTAAACTTTTGTCTTTATGTTTTTGATCTCGCTAGGTTGGCAACCTCGGTGGTTTGTTTTAGACAATGGGATATTGTCATACTATGATTCACAGGATGATGTTTGCAAAGGCAGCAAAGGAAGTATAAAGATGGCTGTGTGTGAAATAAAAGGTAAGAGTTAATAGATTTTTGCTTGAGGAAATTTTAGCTGCCAGGGAAATAGAAAAGGTCACCCAACGTACCTTCTGCATCACAAGTTTTTCCTGTGCTATTTTTGTTTTAGTCCAATGTGACTGCTTCATAGTTCACAAATAATAATGAATGTGAATTTTGAAATGGTGACAAAGAAAAATGTTTTTGACAGAACTCTGTTTTGAGATCTAGAACCAACCATATATTCCGTTTAGTTTTAAGTAGTTGTGTGCATGTGGCTTATGCTTGTAATTACCTCAACTAATTAGTTCTACTGCTTATCCCTCTTATGACCAGGGATAAGAGACTGATTCATAAATGCTAGTTTTTCAGAAGAGTAGCAGCAGTGACCCAAAAGGGGAGATTCTTATAAACCAGAGATGCTCAGTCTTTTGGCTTTCCTGAGTCATTTTTATTTTTCTCACTGTTAGCAGCTGCCCATGCATAGATGATGGATGTATTAGAGTTAGTAAGTGAATTGTTTGTCTCACACTCGGAGTTTAGCCTGTACCTTTAGTGTATTCTAAGCTGTAGGCCAACCTCCTTGGCTAATAGCAAGGCATAGTCTAACTCTCCATTGCTTTAAGTTCTTGACCTCTTTCCAGATATCCGTAGATGACTGGGCTTATGATGTGGGTACTTGTATTTTAAAATGTGAGACTTCTTATTTTACGTGGGCCACCAAATATTTACTAATAGTAACTACTATTTACTAATTTACTAATAGTATTTAGTATTAGTAAAATAGTAAATTTACTATTTCCTTGGTCTAGATGGAATCAGTGATGTGAAGTGGAAGATCCCATTTTTTTGGCCATTCCAGTTCATTTTGCTTGTTATCTTTCCTTCACCAAAAGAAGATAATAGTTGAAGCCTGGATTTGGTGCAGTCTCCTGCATCCGTGGCTAGTGGGGAGGGAGTGTGGCTCTGGAGGAACTGTGGTTGATAACGTGAAACTCAGCAGAGTATTCAGTTGAAGTATTGAATATAATAGACTCGATACAAAGTCCATCTCAGTTCTTGGTTCTAGGGCTCTGTGATCTGAAGCCAGATTTCATCTAGAAGGGAGATTATTTCAGTTTTTAGCCTAGTCCTCTGTAAATGCTTGTCCTTGCAACAAAACTCTTCAGTTTGCTATGTTTAGACCAGGTCTGGAATACAACAGTTATTACGATTCATACGCTGTGCATTGTTAACGCAGAAAGGGGACCCCATTGTACTTGAGTTTGGCCGCTATTTGGTGTCTCATGTTCCTACCTGTTGACTCGAAGGCATGCTGGGGAGAAGGGTTGAGCAACTTTGGACTTTTTGTTATTTAGCAGTGGTACATTGTGACTTACTGTATTACTATGGGATTGTAATAAAAAGGTTAGAAAATTTTGATCATTATTTAATAAATAGTCATTACTGGGTTGAGGTGTTCATAATTTTTTTTTTTTTCCTCCTCTGTTGTAAGTTCATGCAACAGACAACACAAGAATGGAGCTAATCATCCCAGGGGAACAGCATTTCTATATGAAAGCAGTTAATGCAGCTGAAAGGCAAAGGTGGCTGGTAGCACTTGGGAGTGCAAAAGCCTGTTTAGCAGATACCAGAACAAAAAAAGAAAAAGGTAGGTGTGTTACCTAGAGCATATACAATCTCACCACTTTTCCTAATGCTTGTTTTCAGGTAATAATATGGCAAATATTGTGGTAGAAAGTCAGTATTATTGTCTTTAAAAATAAATTGTAATTATTTCTAGTCATCTATATGGTAAATTCCCCCTTGATGTTGGAATTAGAGGTCACCTCCGTTGACCTATCTTAAAAAGCTGAAATATCAGCAACTTATTGTCACTACAAGAACAAATATACTGTATGTAGCTGTTGCGAAGTCATTTCATTTCTGTTGTTTTGATTCTTTATAGTTACTACTCTTTTTTTCCACAGTTTTTCTTGGATGGATTAACGTAATCATTTCCAACCACTCTGGTGGCCATAAATTTAATCCACTAAATTTTTGCTACGTTACATTGCAGCTAAGACAGATTTTAACTTTATCTTCCCTAGTACTGTGCCTCTGTCTTAATGGTCATTAAGTTAGCATCAGTTATACGAAAGTACAAACTATTGTCTGCTTCAAATACAGTTCTTGACTCATTGCAGACTCCAGTTTTCTTCAAAATTAAGTGAAAGTTTAAGTGAATTTTAAAATTCACATTTAAATTTAAATGAAAAGTGCACTTAAAAAATGTGTGCATATATTGTATGCAATAAATTGATATTTCCTTTTTTTTTTTTGTAGAAATCAGCGAAACCAATGAATCTCTTAAAACCAAAATGTCTGAACTTCGTCTCTACTGTGATCTCTTAATGCAGCAAGTTCATACAATACAAGAATTTGTTCACCATGATGAGACTCGCTGTCCTCCCAGCATTGAGGTAGAGAATTTCTAGAATGCCATTGGAGAACCTAATTATATAATTCACCTCAAGTTTCTGTTGACATCTTATGCTTTTTTCATCTCCCTAATGTTGGGAGATTGAACCTAAGGTCAATTTTTGAGTGCTCGTGTGTCGATAATACTAGCAGTGATTATATGTGCATAAAGCACCTGGATGAACTGTAATTGTAACATGCGTTAGGAAGCAATTGTGTTATTGAGTCATTTGGTTAAAAGGCCAGAAGAGCTGCTATATAAGTTATGCAGTAATTTGTCTTGTTTTGCATCTCTGTTACAGGCAGAGTAGTTGAAACAGTCGTCTTTGTCCGTTCTTTATTTCCTTGTGTAGGAGGGTATTCCATTTTGTTATCAGTGAAAGCTATTGTCACAGGTATTGGAAACCTGCGGTGTAGATAAGTCTCCCTGAATATGCACAAGGAAAATTATTCTAGTATTTCTGCTTTTGAATGAAAGTTAGTACTGGAAATTATGAATGGCCTTATTCATAAGCAGCATGTGGACAATATTGTTGTCCACTTAGGACAAAACAGCAAGGAGTTGACACTTAGACACAACACAGCAATTTGTTGTCAATTTACAGCAAGGTGAAACTGACCTGGAGGCTCCTTGCACTGGAGCCATAAAGCTGTTTGCACTTTCTGCTGCGATTCATTTGTTTTACTGAATGATCTTCTGATACCAGTTAGTTGCTCTGAGGCAAGCTTTGCAGTAGAATTGTTACGGTATTGTTGGCTGATACCCTAAAGAAGTTCGGATGTCAGAAAGAAATTACAATGCTGTCACATTTGTTTGCTTAAATTAACCTCATTGGAAGGTGTACATTTGCTTAAATTAAAAGGGAAATGGAAGCCCTTAATGGTAAGGAGGGAAATTAGTGTGTGTGTGAGAGTGGTGGTGGGGGAGAGTTGTATTGGCATATTTTCATTTTCTTCTTGCTTATGCTTGTACATTCATTTATTTTCAGAACATGAATGAAGCCTCTTCCTTGCTTAGTGCCACATGTAATACATTTATCACAACACTTGAAGAATGTGTGAAGATTGCTAATGCCAAGTTTAAGCCAGAAATGTTCCAGCTGCCTCACTCTGATCCCTTGGTTTCTCCTGTGTCACCATCACCTGTCCAAATGGTTTAGACATTTTGAAATACTATTTTTTCTAAGTGTCATATTGGTGGTTGGATGGGGGGGGAGAATGGCAGAAGACTATGATATTGCTATGTGCTATGATGTCAACAGTTGAAATCTTGACTCTGTTATGATCAGTACTGGTCCTAAATATAAATCAATAACTTTCCATTCCCAGTCTTTGTTTGCTAGTCTTTACATAATCAGAGTAATTCATCGTACATGTCAAGAACCTGCAATGAAGTTTCTTGTAAATGAATGAGGTTTAACTTTTTCCTCGGTTCAACTGGTTCTTTGTTTTTTACAATGCTAGCTGTACACTGATCTTAAAAATTTCATAACCTTGCTTCCTGTTTAAACAGTTAAGTGCCTTGTGGCTTGAAGCACTTCAGCAAGATAGCAGATCTTTCAGTGTATATAATTCAAAATGTTTGTATTAATTTAACATGCCCTCATTTGACAAAAAGGTAAATAATGCTAAAGATATTACTTGCATAGCTCTTCACTACTGATTATTTCCCTTAGAAGGACAGTGTGTATAGAATCATCTTAAATGTCTTCTTGATCATATGTATAGATTCCAGGATGACCTGTATTGTGGGATTTTGTTGTGGGAATCCCTTTCTCTGTACTTGAATCTCTTGTCCCTTTATCTTCAGTCAATTTACTTACAAGGCTGATCATTATTCATTTAAAATAATAACTTTATTTGATATGCCTTGATATTTGACAGTGATATCAAAAGAACCACAAGGAATCAAGAGGCAGGATTTGGCTTTATTGTGTAATGGGGAATTTAAGCTGGCATTTGGTAGAGGAAAAATGTCTTTATTTCTGTGTATCATAGCAATTAACAAATAGCTCTCTGAGTAACTTTGGAGCAACAGAGAATGAATTCCGTAGAAACTAGGTAGTATTTTTTTGTAGTAAACTATTTGCTGTGTGAATGCTTTAAAACCTTTAATATTGATGACAGTACATCAGTTTTCCTGTAGTTAAATCAGATTTTTAACTAAGAATGGTTGCTTTTAATTAAAAGAAAAAGAAAAAAAAATTGCCCTCCCTCTTTGTAGAGACTGTAAATAAAGTAAAAATTAATGTAGGTATGCATATTATTCTTATAAGTAGCTTGTGACATTTTTGGTGTGATTTGTTGTTTGATTTGTTGTTTTGTTTTTTAACTAGATGAAGCGTTCCATTAGCCACCCTGGTCCATGCTATTCAGAAAGGTAATGTTCTATTTCATTAAGGTTTTTTCTTCTGTTTCAAAAAACCTCCTTGAACCTGCTAGCATTATAATCAAGATGTGAGAATTATTTGCTTGGGGAAAAAAAAAAATTAACAGCATGAAAGATAAAGATCTAATTGTGAAAACTAAGGGTGTGGATTATCAGTGTCTGTGGCAAATAATGCAGCTGCTGTCTCTAATATACTATAAAAATTTCTTCATGCTAGAAACTTTATGCAAATTATTCTGAAAAATTCATGAAATTAGATATGGAGCTTGAAACACTAACATTCTTTTTGGGTCAGTATTTCAGATTCTTGAATTTTCTTCTTCATGCAAAGATTATATTACATTTTTATTTCCATTTTCAGGCTTTATAATAGTGAAAATTAAGAATGTTCTGTTGACTGCCGTTTTTGGTTTAGTATAGTGAAAAACATTGATACTAACAGTTTAATTTATGCACCAAATTTATTTTAAATTTAAAGTAAATTAAGTTTGTGTGGGTTGGTACAGATTTTGCTTGCTAATAGATCTCATTTTTTTTGTAGGAATAATCACTCTATAAAAGAACCAATTTCATCCCTTCACCGATTTTCACAGCGGCGCAGAAGAATGTATTCGGATACTGAATCTTACGGTGATAGTTCCTTTGAAGATTCTCAGAGTAAGTTTGGAAGAGGAATGGTTTTCTTCTGTATCTTTCTGTACAATTTATTACTTGTCTACAGGTAACTGTTCTAGTGCTGATATCAGCAGG